TGCATCTACGTCTTTTTGAAGGATAAAGCTATCAAATTCACAATTAACTTTTCTATACAATATGCAATCGTGTGTAAACATTCTCACGCATGATGTGACAGACTCCGAGATGTTATCGATATAAAGTGAGAAGAGTGAAGGTCTCAAAACCGACCCTTGCGGAACCACGGATGTTACATCAGAAATACCAGATTTCGCGCCATCTGCTACCACGTACTGACATCTTGAGCGTCGGTATTCGGAAGCCCAGGAGATATCACGAGGGTTGATAGTATAACGCCACTTTTTTACAACTAATAATGCGTGAGGTTCCACATCAAAAGCATCAAAAGCAGAAGTCACAGTGCTTCTGATTAAACAAATAATGAATATGCATCTGTTTAGAAATAGACGTGTGCAGGACGTATTCAAGAATCTTACAGCAAACGGAAGTTAATGAAATGGGACGGTAATTTGAAACATTGTTGCGAAGCCCCGATTTATAAACTGGGACAACAGCACTATCGTCCAATCATCAGAAAGCGAACAATAATTTAGTGACTTCGTAAAAAGTAATTTCAAATATGGGAACATCGATTGTGCACAGGATTTCAGTAAAGCAGTCGGTACGCAATCAGGAAGAGCAGCCTTTGAAGCACTTAAGCCCTCCAATAAAACTTCAATCCCGTGAGCGTCAAAGAAAATATCTTCCATGGGCGATATATTCGCCGGAGCGAGGCCGTCTGCAATGCTGTTCTCTGTAACACGTAGGGAAAACACAGAACTAAATTCGGTTTTAAAACATTCAGCTTTGTCACCAGCATTAGCAACCATATCGTCGGATTTCACGAGAGCAGGAATCGATACGTTATCTTTCTTATTCCTTTTTAAGTATTTCAAAAAGTTTCTTTGTGATTTTCTCTAACTTTAGTTTCGAATGACTCGGCTGCCGTTACATATTTGACACAGTATAATTTTGAGTTCATTGTAATACCCTACTTTCTGTTTCAGCAAAAACGCGTCTTCAGGTGGCATTGTCTCGTCAAAATTGAATCTCCAGAAGGCAGTTATTGTTGACAGCACGTAAAACGAGATGTGTCAGAAGAGTGACAATTTATCTTCCGAGAAGCCACTTCGGAAGAAGCCAGCGCAATCTTAACAGGAGAACGCAGTTTGCTTTGCAAGATACGGCCCCGTAGTCAAAATGGAAGTAATCGGACTTGAGACCACAGTCTAAAGCTTCAAGACGATAACATCCGAAGGCGAACCTCCTCCAGTTCAACCGGAACTGTTCGCTACAACACCTGCTGTGTCAGTACGAGGGGTTTCGCATCATGGCCACAAGGAAAGAGAACGAATGAACGTCCAGACTACGCCGTAAATTGAATTATTTCTTTCTAAAATAGGGGCTATCAGCAGTTGTTTTGCGTAACAATACTGTTTCTTTGTTTTCTCCAACCGTCCTTACAACACAGTAAACGTCTCAAGAATCAGATAAAATCGTGAGAAGTTTCCCTGAACAATTAGATTGGTCCAAGGCGGCATTGTCATCAAATAAAACCAGAAAAAAACGGCAGTCCAAAAGAATTTATGTTAGACCTGAGGTTACTGTTTTGCTTATCAGCATAAAAATGTAGAGACACGTAACATTTGCCGTCGTATTTATGTTGTGCTTACCGCATTTTTTGTTCGCTGTCACAGAAACCTGGTATTCCTCAATGTCCAAGAACCGTACAACAAAGCTAGACGAGGCTCGCGAGGCTCGCGCGGCGCGCGAATTGGCCACCCCAGCGAACGCAACATGTACTACGTCTGATCAAAGAAAGGTCGAACATACATGGCAACTTTTTATTACCGCCTTGAAAAAATGAGATTTGTAGCTGATATCTTCTACGATAGCAGTTAGTGGGATACTTCGCAGGTTTCGCACCGTCAACCGCACTCCATGTCGACGCGGACCATTTTCGGCACTCCGCCCAAAGATTCCACATTGACGTCACGCCGCTTGACACGATTCTGACGTCACGTCCGCATCATGTCACCTGTTAACTGGCGTCAGCTGACACCGTGACGTGACACTGTCATGCCAAGTCACGTGGCACAGTGACGCCACGTGACTTAATGACGTCAGGTGATACTGTGAGTCACGTGGCTTAATACGTCATATGACAATACGTCGTACCGGGGCAACATGATGACAAGTATAAACATAAACATGAAACCGCTGATAATAGAAACGAAACAAAGCGTTTTCGCTAATTATGCCAGAAAGGGTCTTGAGTGATAAAACGAATAACGCTAGGAGGGTGCTAAGCCGGCGATACCACGATGTGAAATTAAATGGAGCTGCACTCTTGAAACTTGAGTGCGCGATTTTGGCAGTGTTTTTCAATGACCACCAGCTGGTGTTAGTTTGTGTCCAATAACATTTCATATGATGTTCGGCTAGCCACACCAACGACAGGGAACGGTTCATGCATACACATGCGGTTTCATCGTTCTCTAAATTTCAAACTTGGACGCGCAAGTTTCGAAGTGTCTTTTAATTGCCAAAAGACAGTCCTAGTTTGTGTCCAATAAAATTGTTTAAAATGTCCATGAAATATTATCCAATTATTACACTTTACGTGTTCCAAAACGCTATGAAATTTTCGTTCGGTTTGTTGCTCGGCTTAATACGACACGCCTATGCGTACTCTATAGTGTGCGCTCGCACCTTTACCGTTCATTCAGTCTATGTGCTTCGAAATGACACCTTATCAGCTCCGACGTCACACCTCAGCCATGTATTTAGGCTATCCTTACGGGTAGCCTAAATACTTACTTTTTTTTCTCCTTTTACGCGACAAGACGCAAGGCCAGCAGATAACGGGTTGTTTAACAGCCCCAGTTCCACCGCTCTCTGCGTTCACATTTAGATACGAACTCTGGATGCACTCTTTTAGAAGATAAACCCGTGTATTGGACCTGGACGATGTTTCCGGGCCCGAGCAGGTGTAGCAAAAAAGAGAACGTAGTACCTGATGTTTCATAATCGTCAGTGTCGAAGCTCAGTTTCATCCCCCCCCCCCCCCCCCCCCCGCCCACACACGCGCGCGCACACACACAGAAAAAAGAGAAAAAAAAACATATTTTGAGGGTCATTTGCTTTTATAAATTGTTATTAACATAAACTAATCCACACTAGCAAAAAATCTACAAGCAGACCGTACTCTCATAAGTAGAAGAATAAGCACATACCTAAACATCCGACCAGCCTCGGAAATACAAAAAACGTTTCCATAAGAGAAGCTTTAGCTACAGTTAGGATGTGCTTGTTTAGTAGTACAGGGAGCGGTAGGAGAAATTTTGTAATAAATAAGTAAGGACGTGGTTAGCCTGGCATGCGCCGGTACAATGAGTCCACTTGTGAGGTACCGTAAAGCCAGTGTGGGAATTACCTTTCTTTCACTTTGCTCTCGGTAGATCTCAATATTGTTGAGCTACACATTCAATACTGCAAGTAAAGGATGGCGAAAAAACAGTGTGCAGCCCTTACCCCCCTCTTCCTTTCTCTCAAACCTTTCTTTTTAGGGCCATCCGCAGGTGGAGTTAATCATCAAGTAACTTGAATTCAAACATGCGGTGTGTTTCAAACAGTGCGTCCGCATGATCCTGAACAAAATATTGTTTTACCGACCGGCCCCATGCACTGACCTTTTATGTTCCAGTGTAAAAGTGCACATCTCTTTTTGGAACTTCGTGTGGCATCGGTTTTCCTCAGGCTTAGAAAGAATTAGAGCTAGTTTTGCACATTTTTAATCTATAATTCAAGTCGATCATGTTTTGATTTGTTGATGCACTTGGGAGATAACAGCATATTTCGTAACGTTTAAAACACAAATAAGATTACCCTACCTGGAAAAGAGAGAGAATAGTTTAAAGGTGCCTTGAAGAGTGTTTCATTGGGTTGCGCTTGCTTGTGTACTTAAATTCAGGATGAATTCTCTATTCTGGACAAATCATCAGGAAATGCAGGTCCGTGAGAAAGCTGATGATAGTTCTGACATACCTAATACGAATACCATATATTTAGAAAAAAAAAGTTATTTAAATCTGAATGAATTCAAAACAAATCAGATTTACATAATACAACCTTAACTTTTAATTTGTTTATTTCAAAACGTATCCCGACTTTTTCCACCTTTAACGACAAGGACACTGCACACACGTTTTTCCCCGAAGGACAGAGCAAGCAAATCATAGAGTGTCAAGATCGCGCTCGCCCCTTGCCCAACCGAAAAAATGTGCGTGTAGAAAATGTGCACTGCCCGATACTGACGACGCCGTAGTCAAAGACGTAGTGGAATAAAGAGCTGCCGTTTTAGAGCATGCAGTAATATTCAAAAGAGTGCGGGGATGGTAAACGTACAAATAAAATAACCAGTTTTTTGTTTTGCAACTAGCGTTGAAATAATTTCAGCTTAAAAAAACATACATTATAATTTGACTGTAGTTGTTTTTTTAACGTTACACGAGGTTGTCGCCGAGTTTAGTACAAGACGTACCTTTTTCGGGCCAATTGTAATGTCCTAAAACAATAAGCGGATGCGACTCATTGATTGTATGCGAGCATACGTCATTACTCTGCTTCAGCTCCGGTGGAATCAATGTGTCTCAATCTGTCGGTTTATATTTATGTACGGCTTCGAGACCTATCAATGTGGTGAAAGTAACCTCCGAATAGCGTGCCACATGTCGACACCCTTGTAGCTTAGATGTGTATTGGACTCTAATCCCACGCCTGAATTATAAAAGTAATAAAGTAAAAAAAAATACTTTGCCCCTCGTAGAATTCACTTTATTGTGTTGGAAGAAGAAAAATAGTGAACGCTTAGGACGAGACAGTGAGAGGAGACATGGCAAAAGATAATGTGCCGCACAGATAAAACAACTGACCAAAACTACAAAACGAACAAACCATACCTTTCCGCAGTCTTATCAGCCTCAAGCGACCAACGTGCCTATCTCAACGGTGAAGAGACGACAAGACTCTTCTTGTGTTCTTCGCTGACACATGTAAACCTCGGGGCAGCAGGTGCGCGCTCGTCGCGATGGATTCGAAAAGGAGCTGGGCAGTGGCAGTGGCCTGCTGCTGGATTAATGCCTTCTCACTGCTTACGATTCGATCGGCGTCTGTCATCTACGTGGAAATCCTACAGACATTCAGCGTCACCAGAGAACAAGCTTCGTGGCCACTCAGTTTAATCACTGTGTTTTACTGTCTCGTCGGTAAGTAGGCGCTGTCTACCTTCCCATATTGGAACTGCATGCGGAGATTGTCTTTGGAGCACCTTCTGTGAGTTTTAACCTAAAGAGGAGTCGTTTCTGTTATTTCGACGTGTCGATATCTTGCGAACAAATTGCTCTGCCGTGCCAAATAAGACGTGTCAGAGTTGTGCGTACATACCTTTCCAATTAACAAGTTCACGCAATTTCGGCGACCAGTAAAAGCAGCCGATCTTGAGACGACTCTGCACCGCTCACAGAAAACAAGAAAGGTTATCTGGCTGGGCATTGAATTGCAAAACCCGCTGCTTGATCTTTCGCAAGAAATCACGTTTTTTTTTGTTTTTTTTTAAAGACACTACGGGTTTCTCTTTTAGGCTGCCATTAAGATAATTTCGTACACAACACAGGACGCTTTTCACCGGCACACTTTCTAGGAGTTGTCAATTTTCTTACCGATAACAACAGCGTCGATTAGAGACGGCAATGTACAAGAGATCACAAGGCAATCCTGGGATAATGTCGTTTCAACAGAGATATCTAACTTTACCGAGGACAGTGGCTCATAAGCTCGTTTCGCTAGGCTGTCATGATTACACAATACAGTCTAGTTTAAAGCCGAGCTCTCACGCATGCACCCTCCGCAGAGATGCGTGAACATCGCTTCTGAGGTACAGCCAACTCAGATCTAACGTGTTTCCGACAAATTCTGCAGGGCCCATTGTAGGAGCTCTGGCAAACTACATCGCAATTGACAAATTGATATCAGTGGGATGTCTGGCAAGCGGATTGGCAGTTGCGGCCTGCTACTTCGCCAACGGCATTTCGTACCTTATCTTCTTCTTGGGAGTCACACAAGGTATGTGCTTCTAAACTTATTTTCTACATTCTTGTTGAAAAACCAAAAACATCACGTGTGTTCCGCGGATCTTTTTTTCGCTTCGTTTTTTAACATTATAATATTAAGCGAGAGCTGATACTCTGACCAACGCACAACATTTATAGCTACATTTATAGGGTTTTAATGTAGCCTCCACTACCCGTCCCCATAAGTTGCACAAAAATCTACGAAACACAACTACTCTGGACCCTCTTCCATAACTCGGGTACTCGGCATGCTTTCAACGAATATCCAGTGTAAAAGTTGCTTCCGTTGAAGAAATGCTTACCATACAATATATGCAACGTCGGTGCTCAGTGACCTTGAAGCTGTTCAACATGAGATGGGGATGTTTAATGCATTCAATGGCTACAAATAGGGTGTTACGCAGACATTTTAGCTATGGCATTATTAGGTACGTATGTCAATCATATCTATGTTTTTTCAGGTTGTGCCCTCGGTCTCTTATGTCTATGCAACACCGCCATCAGTCAACACTTTCGTCGCTATAGGGCAGTGGCTTCGGGAATCAGCAACGCCGGGTTCTGCATTGGCGGGCTCATTTTGCCACCGTTGGTTCAGTTAATATTTGATGAGTATGGCTGTAGAGGAGCCCTGCTGATCTGCGGTGCAGTCATGCTCAATGCGACCGCTGGGGCTATCTTAACACGGTCTCCTTACGAGCCAATCGTGAAACCTGAATGCTCTTGCCAGAGGAACGCATCTCCAAATGATACTCTCCTCTCAAAAGTGAATCTCCCAGATTTACTTACTGTTGACAGCAAGCAAAAAGAGGTGTGTCAAACAAATGTTATTTCATCACCCGGGGAGTCAGATTGGAAAACGCCTGAAGAATCTCAACGAGAAAACACAGTCTCTTTGGCGAGAAACGGCACCGTTGTAGAAGTTGAAAAAAAAGGACTTCAGTACCCACACGAAATGTGCAAAACAATAACAACCGAAGGCGAACATCCTTCAGATCAACTCGGACAGTTTTGTACAAACTTCCCACTCGCGTCAAAGATCAAATACGAAAAAGTGACCGGTCCAGGACGAAACGACAGGCTCCAGAGGCTTGGCTTCCTCTTATCCCCCAAGTTCTACCTCATTGCGTTCTCAGTTATGCAAATCTGGTTCAATGTGACGGCCTACCTGACGATCATCGTAGACTTCGCGACCGATCGAAACATTTCTAGGTGGAACGCTGTCTTCCTTGCGACCTTCATCACCGCGGCTGACCTTGTAGCGAGACTCGGTTCTGGATTCATTACCGACAGAGGTCTTCTGGGGAAAAACGCTATGATGGCAACGCATCTTCTGCTCTGGGCGGCCACGTTGTATCTGACACCACTCTGCAGTTCCTACGCCTGCTACGTCCTTACGGCCATCGTCATGGGCTGGTGTGGCGGTGCAACGTTCATCTTGACGGCAGTCTTCTTTATGGAACTTGTCGACCCTGATGCCTTCAGCATGTGCATCGGCGTAGCCTCCTTTGTTGGCGGGCTCCCGCTATTGGCCAGGCCACCGCTGATCGGTAAGTGCCACGCTGCAGCCGAAGGCGATGTTTCTTTTTTTTGTTCTTGATTTACCTATTAGATTTTCAGTTTTAGAGCGCAGCTCTTAGGCGCCCGCTTCCGGCTTGAGCGGCGTCGCCGTCGCCGTCGCCGTCGCCGTCACCGTCGCCGCCGGCATAACCGCGCGGTGCATTATGGGTAAATTTCCCCACTAAATTTAGCGGAAAATTTTCCCCGACAAATTTAGCGGAAAATTTTCCCCGACAAATTTAGCGGAAACTTTTCCCCGACAAATTTAGCGGGAAAAAATTCCCTACTAAGTTGAGCGGAAAAATTTCCCCGCTAAATATAACGGAAAATTTTCCCTGCCCAATTTAGCGGAAAAATTTCCCCGCTAAATTTAGCGGCAAAAATTTCCCGCTGAAAAAATTTCCCCACTATAAATATAGCGGAAATATTTCCCCGCCAAATTTAGCGGAAGATTTTCTCCGCCAAATTTAGTGGAAAAAATTTACCCACTAAATTTAGCGGGGAAATTTTTTCGCTAAATTTAGCGGGAAATTTTTTGTCCTCTATACTTAGCGGAAAAAATTTTTCCGCTAAGTTTAGCAAAAAAAAAATTTCCGCAAAATTTAGTGGAAGAAAATTCCCCACTAAATTTAGCAGAAATTGTTTCTCTAAATAGGTGGAAAGGAGAAGAGGCATGGCCTCCTCTCCGTACCTTCCCCTCCTCTTCCTCAAGAGCTGCGCTCTAATTCAACGTTACAGGAGATTGTAAACGTCTTTCATTTTTGAGTTCTTTATAACTTATTAATTTATGTAAGGTCGACGGACCCTAGCCCTATTAGGGTCGCAATGACAAGTACATTTCAGAATGAGGCTGAAATCAAACCTCTCACGAAGGAACTCTCCTCCTATATGAAGAATCCTGTAATCGAAAGTGCAGAGCATTTTTTTACAGTATTAACGAGGGAATTACTGAAACTGCAATAGCGTAGGAAACATTAATGGCTATATATTACATCTACTCATTGTTATTGTTTTGGTTCAATTGACACTCGAGTATTTAAAATAACATTGAGTTCATGACAGGCGACCAAGCCATATTACGAAGAACGCGAAGAGTCAGGAATTCCATTACATTTAGGAAATACTATATGAGATAGCCGCGAGAAAGTCTGAGCTCAGTTCTTTAATTAAATGTAAATATAAAAATATTAAATGCAAATGATACACTCTAGTCAAGGCCCCACACATCATGTAATATTTCGTATCTTCCGATCGAGCTGGCCATCTTCTTAGAAGGCTTCTCTGAGTCTTATGAACCTCTGCTTTTACTGCGCGACATAGGTGGGCTCTACTCATGTAATTTAGGTGTAGAAATTAATCGTTATAACGCAGTGGCTTTTTCCAGGTTGAAATATCCCTAAAGCATTAATCCGTACGGAGCGTTTCGCCAATTTTATAATTCGAAATCCTGAGACGAGAAAGACATAAAATAAGTAATTCGATAACTATTGGAAACCAACTTGTTTTTTTTTATTTTTTTGTAATTACTATGCACTTTTAGAGATATCGGCAATATAGCCAATCCACCATTAAGCCTGAGGGCAGCAGTGTCCCCACTTGTCGTGGCTAAGCAGTATACATGAGAAACGTTATTTATTTACTCTTCTATTTACTTTAGATCAGATGTAGTTCATTACAATTAGAATGATTAGACCACACAAATTATATAGTTAATTATTATTCAGCATGACATAAAAAAATTAAGGCAATTACCTCACAATTCTTTTTCTGTGAGAGCTACCCAATCTCGAGGATGTTTACTCAATAACATCATAGTCAGTTGACCGTCCATACTATCGCCAAAGCGTTCTGGCGAGGAATGTCCATTCCTCCATCTGACCATTGAGGATGCAGTGTGGGGCGTTTCATATTTTGAACACGTTGCGTCTTTATTTCAACTTTTCCATAATGGTATGACAGTGAGAGATCGGTCCTGAGCATAATACGAGTCAGTTGTTTTAATGTTTTGTAACATCACCACAGCGTTTGGGGCGCTTTATGTATGGCGAGAGCTAAAAGCTAAAGTGACATTTAAGTAGTATATACGCAGCCAGAGTCTTGTGGTTATGCAGACAAAGCTATCGGCGCAAAAGCGCTTGCTCGGCTTGAGCGTCCATCAAAACAATCCACGCGCAATCTTCACTTCTAAAATACCACAGAAGGTTGCCCGCGATTAAAGTATGCACTGAAAGAATCTAATGGAAGCTCAAACACTTCCGTACCCTGCAGACGGAAGATATGAGTTGTGTAGAGTTGTGCGAATATTAGAAATTTCGAATATTAGTTTCGAATAATACACTATTTGGTATTCGCTTCGAGAAGAACTGCACTATTCGCGTGTTTCAAATTGTTGATTGGGGCGGGTTAGCCCCGTTGAGTGCGCTTCTTACCGAGCACTAGTGCAGTGCGGAGAAGCAATACCAGCGGAAGCGAGCTCCACGGGTGTTGCTTCTTTGCATTACACCGGTGTTCGGTAAGAAGCGCACTCAATGGAGTTCCCCGGCGCAATAAACACTTGGAAAAGTAAGAATATCGTAATTGCCTGCTTTGAAGAAAAGCATACATTCAAAGCGGGACGGTGCACGCGTGCCGGTTGTATTTGAAATAAATGAAAACTTTGTGAATGGGTGTATCTACATTATAGTAAAAGTTTTAGAATTAAACTGACTGCTATACAAGAGTATATACTATGTTAGACAGAAATGCCCTTAAAACCTGCGTCCATCATGTGCGGTTCTTTCTTTTTTAACACAACATTAAAGAAAGAATATTTTATATAGCAAGATTTGTAAATTCACTCAATTGGGTATAGTTGGCCATCTCTATAATATTCATTTTATGTCAAATCCGTCGTTTGATTGCCATTCCAAGACATCAGATCTTTTGAGGTCACAGTTCATAAATATAGATAATTAAACTTAGCTTATAAATGAACAACTGGAACAACCTTCGCGAGTTTAGCTGGGTTTGGTCTAAGCATTATGCTGTGGTAGGGAAAGGCGTGAAAAAACTGTTCGATATTCGAATCGAAAATATTCGGCCAAAACCACTATTTGCTTCGACTTCGCTTCGAACTTAAAATACGCTATTCGCACAAGACTAGAGTTCTGATCAGATATTCAAAGAGCATATTCACAATCGGTAATGTTTACTCTTTTCAAACATTATGACAATAGAAAGCACTGGCTTTCTGTGGGACATCTTTGCTCCGCTACTGGTGCCGTGACTCTGACAGCATGTGCGTTCATGGTAGGAGCACTGGCATAGCCTCGGTGGCTTCAAAACCCCGCAGTTTGGCAGAAAAACAATGCGACAAGCTTTCAGTATATGTTTGTCAGTCAGTGAATCCACAGACCAAGAAGAAGGCGAGAGCAGGGAAGGAAACAAATAGGTTAATTAAGGCTTCCACTCACCAATGCTACTTCCCAGCAAAAAACATTAAAAGATGTTTTTAAATTTTTTAAATTAAAAAAAAAATATTTCCGACTATTGCAGCTAAAATACGATAAAATCACCACTATAATTCCTTTAATACAAAACAATAAATTACAAATACAAATTATCAAGAAAACTAGATAAATTTCAGTCTATAATTGGCACGGTACCCTATTATGTTCCTAAGAGATCCAAATTCTACAACGTAAATCCTCATGTCAAAAAACTAAAATTTTTGCCGACAAAAAAAAAACTTTTCACGGTCTGCGTATTTTTTGGCAGTACCGCTTTTTCACTTAACGTTTTGTTTAGTCCTCTGTTGGTGGCACCAAATTGAATAAGCGTGGCTGAGCTTCTGAAGAGTCTCCTGGGGGAATAGGCCATTAATAAGTTATCTTCAAAAATAGCATAAAAGGGCTTGAGACGCGGCCACCATTTAACGTATGCGATTATTGCATAGTGACTTTCTTTCAGTCATCCTTTGTCGCACGCAGCCACTACGCAGAACTCAATTCTCAACAAATTCCTCTGCCAGAGGAATTTGTTGAACACCAACTAGTTGGAACACTGTTATTAAGAACTTGCTAAAGCATTGCTGTTATACAGTAAGGCTTTGAGGTTTCGATGTATTTGTCCCTTCGTGTTCCCCTTTCGCGGTTAAGTATGAGCGCTGACCAACTAGCCTTATTACATTAATGTATCGTTAATCTGGAAACCGTTAAAACGGATACTCCGCTATACAGACAGCATTTACGGGGACAAACTGGGTAAATACACGCCTTTTTGGTCTCGTTATTACGAACAACTAACATTATGAACGCTTTTTGGGGCAACGAAGGTGTCCACATTAACGAGACATCACAGTTATAAAGTTCAGTTGTGTAACTAACATAAAAATGGGCCTCCTTCAGTTGGTTTTTGTGTGCGTGTGTGTTTCTTTATTCCTTGCAGGATATTACAGGGATACTTTGGGCGACTACGAAGGCCTCTTTCACCTTCAAGGGACGGCATCCGCCTGCATTGCAGTCTTCTGGATTTTTGTACACTTCAAAGAGAAGTGCAGCGTTACCAGTCTTCGGTCAAGCTGAAACTTCCACAAAGCTCTAGGAACAAACTAACGTCAGTCCCTTTCATATAAATTATGAAGTGGCTCAAACTGTCTCGTTAATTAACAAAAAGAAAGGTTAAACACTCTAAACTGTAACGCGGTCAGGACGAAGCGTTACTCGCCAAAGCTTCAAAAGCCCGCGTCATCTCGCGTTTCACGCGAAGGACATTATATTGCCCCTATAGGCCACGAAATGTGACTGTTACCCTGCTTCCCAGTAAAGGCCCAAAGAGTGGCGTTTTTCTTCTTTTTTTTTTTCCTCTCTCTTTTTTGTCAAGTATTTTTAGTAGAAAGCAAAGAAAGGCTGCTCCACGCCATGTGATAGCTCAGGCCCCGAAAGCAGGCTGCGCTCAAAGCCACAGTTGCGCTGCTCATACGTGATACAAGAGACACGTTGTTTACCGCAAACATGATAGTGATTTTTAGGGAACCGTTTTTGCACATCCGATACGCTACGATGGGCCCTTTTGAACGAACTGCGCATGCGCTACAGCATAAGACTCGCACGTGCACATTGCATACCGGAAGGCCCATTGTATCGTATCGGATGTGCAAATACGGTTTCCTAAAACTCTCCGATGGTAAAATTATCCACAGACATCAAATATCTTGCAAGAATGTTGGTTCCTTTGATATGTGTTTGCGTACATTTTTTTGTATGATGAATGTGACCGTCTCCATACAAAGAAGAAACACGCCTCAGAAAATGTGTTATCTTTTAGCGGTGTGACCGCGCCTTCGGGAACGTATTAGGAGAGCAAGTCGTCTGCTTCTAGCGCAGGAGTTGCGGTGACGTCAGAACGACGCCGAGCTCTGATTGGCTTTGATTGAAAGGATAGTGGATAGACCTCAATGCTTGATGCCTTGAGGTCTACCCACTACTTTTTGCTTTTTCACTCAGCCAATAAGAGCTCGGCGTTCTGACATCATAGCAACCCCTGTGCAAGAAGCAGACGAACTTCCGCTCCGCATTGCCATGATTTGAATACAAAGAACAAGGAGTAGAGATCTCCGACAAGGCGCTCCAGAAAGGGCAATGCTGGGTTCGAGAGAACGGCAAGTGGTGCTGAAAGCCGGCCGGGCCTGGGCGCATGGGTATCACTGGAGTCAGTGAAAATATCACGACCCAAACCGAGACTGGCATACCAGATCTCAGAAAAAAGCACGAGAGGCCAGTCGTCAACAGGAACTTTGTCTGCCTAAGGCCGTCCAAGAAGTTATCACCGAGACAGGCTCCAAATACACCACCACGACCCGTCTCATCCTAAGCGACCGAGCGCAGAAATAAATAACCAAAACGGACACCGCACGGACTCGAGCCAAAGTCTGGGAACCGACCATTTGGACACTCCATATATTTTCTTGTATATATATCGCTTCATCTTTTATTATCTCCAATTAGAATAATTTATAATACACATTTATATTAAACTAGCTCTCGTCTTTAATTTCCGTCATCAATTTCATCCGAACCTCGCGCCACATATGTCGACAATAGACGGTCTTAGAATAGGGGACCCAAATGGAAGTCCCCCAAACTGCTCGGGGAACACGGGGCATTAGGGCTCCTATTCAAAAACTCCCTAATGCGTATTTACTCGTTTATTGAGGGTATTCACTGGCGTAATTTCGTCCCCACCCTTACGTTGTTTTGAGTTGTCTCGCGCGTGCCAAAGGCGAGCATTCCAAGCCATACATGACGCCCGCAAATATATAGAGCAAAAACGTTTGGGCTCCAATCCACGCCGTGAAGGCAGTTGGCCAGCGAAGCTGTGGTATCACGAGCAACGATCGTCCAATGCACTATATAAGACCCTTTTTATGGCAAACGCCACGAGGTGGTGCTCCAGTCTTTGACGTCCGAGAGACCGCCATATCAGATGTGTAGTGGGTATTGGTAACCCTCAGGCAAGCGCCAGTTTCCACACCTTCATCATTGAAAAACCTGTCCCGGTTTATAAAAATAATGAACAAATGGTACTTTAATACCACTGCTTGAAATGTGAATGAAACCTTGAACCACTAATTCTCCACGTGAACGCCCAAAAAACGAAAGAGTGCGAGATCTGTTAAAATATATCGAGTACCCTTCTAAACCAACTAGCCTCTTCCAAGATGTAATATTGTACAGCAGAAGGCCCTCGTTAAATTTCCAACTTTGTTGTCCCGCAGAATTTATGCTTTCTAGCACTGGTGACATTAGCAAGCTCGACAGGCTTGCAAAGACGGTGCGACCGCAAGTCGCTTCAGACGCTAGCGGCAGTCATGTTTGCAAACGGGAAAAAGGTCTTATACCAAATGGTTTACGAAAGAAAAGTAAATGCACTGTACCAAAACTTTTTTATATATAAAAGTCTTCGTACGCTGCCGTTGCCGCGACAGCTTATGCAACCGAAATCTTTACCGCGAAACGCATGCGGGTATTGCTACGGGCTTGGCGTTGTTAGCGCGTCTAGTGACGTCAGTTGCCACCTTGTACTATGCCATTGCCACGACAGCATATGCAACAGCAATCTTTACCGGGAAACGCTTGCGGGGAGCGCTACCTGCCTTGCAACGTTTGCGCGCGCTTTATCATCTATCATCCGTTTTCTTATTGAAACGAGTGTCAAAACCACGTGATAGATGATAAGGCGCGCACGATGGTTTTCTGTCGACTACCGCTCTTTCCACGGAAACGAAAAAACCCGACAAACGAGTCATATGCAGCTTCGCTGCAAAAAACTTAGGAGTCTCATCACCCTCACACTGAGCAGCAAAATAGCGGATTAACTTCGTGTGAATAATTAGCAACATGTGAACAATACTGGCGAGGAGATTGAACTATAGGCGGCGCTTTTTCCAGCTGGTTTTCCACAAAGCTCGGTGTTCACCCAACATTCCCATTTACATCAGCTTTTTAGATCGAGCCCGGCACACACATTGGACACGAACGCCGCGTGAGCGTTCTGCTGGGACTCGTGCCCAATTGGTGCTTCACTGACTGACACGAGCCCAAGCCGAGCACTGACGCAGCATTCGGCTTCGTCAGCCAAGTATTGCTTCAGAAACACAGGCAAATAACTCACGCTGGTGGTCCCCGTGACCTTATTTCTAAACTTAGCCGCTTAGGGCGCGACGGTTCTTGCCATAAAGTCCCTGCGCAAGACCATGATGCAACGCTGCTTCCGGCTCGAAATCTTGTCGAAAATCTGCGTCGGTGACATTAGACTGCTTTCGCCCTATGTATTTCTGTGTGCAGAGGCGGTGGCTTCTAGACTGGCCAAGTTCTTTTCGCGTCTTGGTTAAGTGCGCCAGGCAGAAGAGTCGAGAACATCAAGGAGCATCGGCTGGCGCTCAAATTTTATACATACCGGCGTTTATTCGGACTTGAGACGAGTCGCCGCTCGAAAAGCCGGCTCGTCGCGGCCAAGATGGACCCGGTAGACAAAGTCGGGTGGCTCCGAAGAGGGAAAAACAAAGAAAGCTTGGGGTTAAGAACCCGAAGGTCGTCCCTAATCGTAAAATTATTGGGGTCCTTCGTAGACGTCTGCTCTCTCCTCCCCTGTCCGTCTTACTTTCGTCCTACCCTCTTGAGTTGCAAAGAACTATAGTGGAAGACTAAGAATGCCAGATAATGTTTTATAATAGCAGCTTTTGCTTCTCTTATACTTGGCTTAGTGGTAGCCTGGCACCAAGACGAAAAACGTGAAACTGGAAATTGTATAAAGTGTGAGCAGTACATTTCTTTTTTTTTTGTATTTCTCGTGAGTACGTGCCTTAATCACACAATATGTACTAGAAGACGACTATAATGACGAAAATAATTTGATAGGCAACCTGCAATGCTGTTTGGGTTGGCGTCATCTAGCGACTGATGCAAGAATCATCGTGTATACCTGAAAGTGGCGGCTGCATTGTTCAAACGGGAGCGTCACTCCCGTTTCAACAATGCCGCCGCCACACCTTGGTGGCGTCACTTAGCCTATGTCTGAAGCAAGAAATGCTGGGTGAGCAAGAAATCCACGCGGGTGTGACATGCCAGTACGGCGGAAGCTAAGCTCCTGGGGGACAATCGGAACAACGGAGTGAGGTACGTGACTATAGGTATCCCCGGAGTGTTCGAAAAAGTATTTTCGCTATGTCATGCTCCCAATGTGTGCGTTGCGCTCGTATACGCCTCTCAAATCGGTTCATTTTTGTCTTCTGCGCATGAGAAAGGAAGTAGCGGTGACGTCAGAACGCCGAGCCCTGACTGGCTGATCGCGACCCCCTATTTGAGCGTCGTCTGCTCCTTTGCAACGTCGTCTGCTCGCAACATCGTCTGCGTCTGTCTTACCTTTCCTGCGACTTTCGGGTCTTTACGAGCGAGCTTGACTTCGCCTTTCAGAGAGGGCAGACGAAATAACTCGAGCGGTGCGTTGTTTTTGTCTAACAACTAGCAGACGTGCATCAAGGAGGGAAGTCAAAGGACTCACTGACGAGGTGTCCCGAGGCGCCGAGGTTTATTTGCTAAGAACCGAGAGTGAGCGTGTTAGCGTCCCGCAAGTTCCCTCCCAAATATTTTTTCCCTCCTTTCGTGTGCGGCGAGACCCCTCATTCTTTAACGGCGTCGGCGGGTTGGCGCAGTTAACGTCGTCTGCTTTACGTCTGCTAGTCAAAGCAATGGCTGCTTTACCTTTCCTGCGCCTGTCGGAGATTCGCCGCTTTTTCACCGGCGAGAGTCACCGTTGCCTCGGGAAACAAGGAGATAACAAGAGGAAGAAATTGACCTCTTAATCTAAAACTGAGGTCAGCGATCAAAGTATAATACGGGAAGAGTTCACAAGGGTCGCGCGGGCATATTCCATTCAGCACACCAGCCGGTCGTGGGCAGACGGTCGCCGAGCCGCGGAGTGCCTGCTAGGCCTAACTGCCGTGCTCGCTTAGTCGCGTTCGGTGGAATCTTGGCCGTTGGAGCTTCTCCCGGGTGTTTGTGGATCCAGCGTTCTTGTTCGTCGTGGTCTGTTTCAAGTACTTTTTACTTTTTTCTTGCTGCTTGAAGTCGGGACGCGTGAGAGGCGTACGTAGAAAAATAAACGTCCGTGGGTCGTCGCGACCGCGACGCTGTC